CAGGGCATGCCCGTAATTTATTGGCCGAGCCTTCTACCCAGAATTCCCTCGCGGTGATAAAATTACGGGCAAGACCCCAAGAATTACGGCCGTAATTCCCAAATTACTGGCGGTAATTGGGAAATTACGGGCGTATCTCCTCCTCCTGCAGCTTAAGTGAAACGTGCGTTTTGGTGCGAATTACGGGCAGGAAGTGATTACGGCCGTAATCCTGCCCGTAATTCTCCCAGAGTCGGGTTTTTGGAGGCAGATTCGAGCCAAGGAAAGAGAATTCGATTTTCTGGGCAAAAACAGAGTTTTAGAGAGAGAAAGAGCGAAGAACAAACCCTATGAGCTATTTTGGAGTGGATTTCTCATCATTGAAGCCCAGATTGCGTCCCTAGGAGTGAAGATTGACATCCCAGAGCAGATTTTCCTCATCTTTATGAGTATGGCTACTCTGTTTTCTGTTTTCTTTTCTCTCTCTATGGAGTAGAACCTTTCTCTCACTTGGGTATGAAGAACCCTAGTTCCTTGTGTTAGGGATTTGATTGTAATGACTTGGGATGATATTATTGTTTGATTTTAATCGAATGATGCATGTTTCATGAATTGATTTGAGTCTGATCAGCTTGTCTCAATTTCTGCTTCAACCTGAGATAGATAGAATCTGATTAGGTTGTTAGAGCCTCTTCATTCGATAGTAGGAGATTGGCTATACGAGAGTTAGCCAGTTTACTGCTTTGTACTGGTGTTCTTGACGCCAGTAGTGGAGTTCTGTGTTCATAGCCTCAGCTTTCTATGCCGGTGAAGACTAGTCGTCTGCCGGGTAGTTAGGCTGAGAGGGCTTGGTCAGCTTAAGAGATTCCAAGCTACTGTCGGATCTTCCGCAGTCTAATCAACAGTAAATCAACCCGGGGAATTGCAATTGAACCTAACCAAGGGGCTAGGGGGACTCAATCCCGAGTGACTCTTACCTGCTTTTGAAAACCGAACCATTTCCTGCTTTCTTACTGCTTTTGCTTTAAACAACAATCTCTCGAATTAGGTTGCTAGATAATAGAGAATCACGGAGTAAGCAGTAGATCTAGACCCCGGGTTGATAATTAAACTTGCCTGTTACTGCATTCCCGGACTGCGATTACACTTGGTCGCAGTTTGGTGTTGTGTTTTGGCGTGCAGTGACCTCACCGAAAAAAAATCGATACCAAATCTCCCCAAAATTCCAGCGAATGCCACCCTTGACGAGGGAAGAATGGGTCTGTGATTGGTTTTTGATTTGGGTGGCCGGAGGGCGGTGAAAATGGTGAAATTCGTCGAAAAATCACGGTTTTCTAGAGAATTTGAAAGGATTCCGATGAGAATGGGTCGTGAAATGAAGAGAAGGCGTTCACGGTCCTTTTATAGGTAGGCCCCGAGATTCACGTACGCGTTTTCCAGTTAACGGTTGCTAAGACCGTGAACATAGCTCGCGGACCGCGAACTGGGGTGAAACGGTGGGTTTCACAACACGCGGAACACCCTAGTTTACAGACGCGTTTGACAGTTCACGGTCGATTAAGACCGTGAACTCTAAGCGCAAACCGTGAACTGCAATGAAAACAAGGCATTTCCGGAAAATTTTAACTCGACCTACTCCACCGTGCCTACTATCGATCATAACACAATGCAAAATACCCAATCATAAAGACCTGGCACGGGGATACCACTTCAACCACTTAAACTCTTCACTCGACACAAAAATGAAAATAAGGAAAAGAAAACAAACCTACGTTGGGTTGCCTCCCAACAAGCGCTAAGTTATCGTCATTAGCTTGATGTTTGTGGATCTATCACGCCTTTGAACGTGATGCCACCGAGAGTGGATCCGCCACAATCTCGGGGAGAGGCATGTCGCCTCCCAACTTAAACTCCATGGGATGGCCTTCTTGGGTGATGACTTTGGCTTTGCCCTTTTCCTTTCTCCGGGCTTTAGCATGATTAATCCTTTCCCTCCAAGCTCTCTTCCTTCTTTCTTTGGGCGTGATACCCTCCTTGCTTTCCTACTTCACATCACCACAAGGATTAACAGTAATAGTGGGGTTTACCTTGAGAGGTTCTCCTCCACTTGCATTCTTATCATCCGGTTCCACTTACTCTACATCCTCACTCCTAGGCTTAGGTTCAATTCCAAGAGTAATTCTCTCCTCACCGTCCCTCAGAATCAAAGTTCCCTCATTTACATCAATTAACGTTTTGGCGGTGGCAAGGAAAGGTCGTCCTAGTATGAGCGGCATCTCAAAATCCTCACTTATATCCAGGATTACAAAATCTGTCGGATAACATAATTTTCCCACTCGTACTAGCTCATCCTCCACAATACCTCTAAGACGAATGACAGAGCGATCGGCCAATGTGACACTAATCGACTAAGGATTGCTTAGACTTCACCCTCGAACTATAGTTTGGACGACCAAATTACAATCTACCAAAGGTGCTAATACATATTAAGAGGTTTTCCAAAATTCAACCTAGGTAGGTGACACAAATGGCCAAGGAATTCCAGCTTTTACAAGACTCTTAACAAGAAGGGGATTTGTCTCTACCTAGGTCAAAATGGCATAAGAATTGGAAATGAAAGAACACACACAATCTTCATGAAAATACCTCATAACTTGTATTAAAATATAGCCACACACAAGTCATTCAATCCATACAAACATTCACATAATTGTAGTTAGGGTTTACAAACACCCAAGTAAAAGAAAAGTCTACTCCATGCTAAGTAGAGGGAATACACAAGGGAGAAGAGAGAAAACCATCTTGGAGATGTTTCCCTTCTTCCTTGTGGTATGGAGATCAACCTTGGAGGAAGAAATTCCCAAAACCTAGCTCTTGGACGAAACCCTAACTTCTCTTCTCCTCTTGTTAGTCACTTTTTGAATCTGAAGAATAAAAAAAAGTCTATCTCACTAGGTTCACCTCTATCTCTTTCAGCTCAACCCCCTTTATATACCCAGATCGATGGCGTTTCACGGTCCAGTTCACGGTCGTGAATATCTAGCCCAGACCGTGAAGTCGAGCAAAAATGCGCCGTTTCATTAAGGGAGTTCACAGTCTGCAGCTGGTCTTCACGGTCGAGTGACCGTGAACTGGTTTATGCTGCGAGATGGACAAAGCTCTTATGGACTCCTCGCTCTTCAAGGTCTATGCCTCCTCTTCACGGTCTGGATGACCGTGAACCTCTGGCCTCAATCGTGATCTGTTGATCTTGCTCCCTTTTGACAGGTTTCCACCCCTTTTCGTCCAACTTTCGTTCCATGGGTTGATTTCACCTGCTAGGATCTAAAAACACACTAAAAACAACCACAAGCTAGTGTAAATCCGAACCTCACGGAGTAAAAGTACCTCAAACATCCCAGGATTAAAGGGGTAAAAGTCTACAAATAGACCCGGATCAGAATATGTTATCTAATGTGTGTTTTGTTCTATACAAATATGTACTTTGTTCAATAAAAATATGGTTTTTGTTCAACCAGAATATACACATACAAACCGGTTAAAGACTGTTAAGGAATCTGATTTAGGGAGGCTACTGTAGTAACTATGAAGGATGCGATAGGTAATGGTATGTAATGACCCTTTGATGTGTTTGAATGCCAAATTACTTGTCTATTCAAAGATTTCTGATTAGGCCAAATAATCTCCTATTATAATTTTTTTCCAAAGGTCGAACTGTATCTTTATAAAAATGAAAAAAAAAATTTACCAATCAAGACATTGTTTCATTCCAAAAGAGTAAGGGTAAATTTCAAAGGTATATGAGCTTAGCTCTTGCTCGACCAATAAGGGTAAATTTCGAAAAGAGCTTTCCACCATGAGAAGAATTAGAAAAGGAAAAAAATTAGTTATTTGCAATAGAAGAAAAATTCAAAAATTCATAGAAAGATTTTTTAGTTGAGTAAGGCAAAGTGCTTAAAGAAATGTCAAGTTGATGGTAGAAAGCATTCAAAGCTTAAAAATTTACCAAAAACTGCACCCCATCATTTTGAGACTCAGATGCATGGTTAGTGGTTGATGTTTGGATTATGTCGTATGATGTTCTTGCAAATTAACGTGGTTAGGATTCTATAGTACTATTGTTGAACTTGTAAGTTGCTTATGATTCACTACCTAAGATCAACACTAAGTGACGGTGTTTAGAATTCCTTGAGTTGTATGGTTATGAGTAGTGTTTGCTTGGCGACAAGCAAAGTATATTTGTGGGGTAGTTCTTATGACACTTAATTTATAGTGTTTGTCACTCCCATTGATACATTTCCACATTCTTTCAAGGTATCTTTAGTCATTTCAATAGTATTCCCTTTCTGAATCACAATTATTTGATCAACGAGCCTTTAATAGACCTAGGTTATTTTTTTGTACTCTTTGATGCCTTCTGGGTATGTTTTAGTTCATTTTGAAGGTACAAAGCAACATAAGGAATATTGGATCAAGAGTTGGAAAACTTTGGAGGACCAACGGAGAAATAAAGAGAAGAATATGGAGCTTTCATGAGAAAGATGAGGTCCAATGACGGAGAAGTCGACTAGAAGTCAATTAAGCTTACTGAGTCAAGCCCATAGGAAGACGACTCTGCCCAAACTGATGAAGAAACCAGCGGTGCCAGCCTGCGGTCCAACCGCCCTTGAAGGAGGCTTGTTCAATAAGTGCCCAAACTGTAAAGGAAGATCGTCCAAGGTTGAAAGAGCCCAACCCATAAAGAACCCACACCAAACGCTAACCTTGTTCGGGAATTTTACTTAGCCCACAAGGTTTTGGAGACCCTTTCCTAGTCGATTTATGAGATTTTTTATGGTTTCGATGTGACTGGGGACGTTCTCTATCCCAAGAACAAAATGGTTTATGTTTTGTGAGTCTAGTAAGGCGCATAGATTAAAAAATAATTCTCAAACGTTCATTGTGTGGTGAGTTTGTTGCTTTAAATCCTTTGCAAATATTGTCACGTTCAGAGCTAAGGGACTGAGTTGAAGAACTAAAAATATTTCAAGAGCCCTTTTCAATTGCTTCCAAAACCATATGGTTGAGACATTGATATTCAAGGCCTCTAATTGGATTAAATACTCTTTGTTCCATACAAGTCTTGATCTAATGGTAGTGGCACATCCCATGACAGTCCAGCCAAATTAAGTGAGATACAACAACCTGCAGTGTGTCTCCAAAAGAGGTGCAAAATTAAGTGAGATACATGAATTTAAAATCGATGACTCTTTTGACATTTTAGAAGCTCTTCGGTCTTGTGATATCATATTTACACATACAATAGGATGTAAAGCACATAACAATGTTTGATAATCCAAAACATCATATAGTCTCACACATTGCACAACACACTTCTTCTCATTTTTCATTTCACTTTTCCCTTTCTTTTATATTTTTCTCTCTCTTAATTTTAAGAACGTAAAACTAGGTACTCGAGGGATTTAACATTTCATCTTCATTTATCCCATCCACTTTCTCCCCTTAATAAAAAGCTTCATAGACACTAAAATTCTTCATTTCCCTTGATTGCTTGCCTAGTCCTCTTTTGATGATTCCATCTAGTTTGGTTCAAATTAAACGGGTTCTTGTTGTGTGGTTACAGGTGGACCAGATGCTATAGTGAATTGCAAACCATGACGTTGCCCGGATTGTAGCACAAATGCAACTTGTGTTGCTGCTAATGCGGCAGCTTCCTATTTTAAGGTTGTATATTGTGCAAGCAGTTAGTACACATAAAAAAGGAAATAAAAATAGATAGAAGAGAAATTTTTTTATTTTTAATTACTTGTCTTTGCCTTCTTCGTTGTAAAATGCTGATAGCCCAAGCCATGATGTAACAGGGCAAGAGAAAACCAGCTGCACGTAGTAGGAAAACCTGTAATCCATGGCCACAAGAAAAACATGTCATCAAGACTTCTAAGGTTTAAAATCTATAACGGGAAATATTTTATGGTAAAGAAGTTGATGATTAGCGATTACAACATTCTACTTACAGAGAAAAAGGTGGAAACATCATCATCTTCATCAGCTTCTGTCACTGTCAATGCATGTCGTAATAGTAGAAGGGCCATCAACTGAAACATTAAACAGGAGGCGTATGTTAAGATAAGCTGCAAACATAAAGTTTAAGGAATTGTACATTTTTTTAATGATGTCAATTCATGTGAAATAATGTTAAAATATAGTATTTCGTATGCACAAGGTTATAATAATTAATCAAACATAAGTGCGTATATTTTTAAATTTTATGGGGTAAAATCGTGTATTTTTTGATACACGAAGCTACAATGCAAGGTTTCTCTACAAATTCAGGCAAAGAAAAGTGATGAATTATCACGAACTATGTGTTCTTAGAGTAGTTAAGAATCAATAGGTACTTGATGCGTTTGAGAAATGAGAACTTTGCATGAAAATATTTATAGGTCTTACGATGAGTGCCGCTGAACGACAAAAAGCAGCTCCACTAGCATTGGAAGCAGCATACTCATCATATTCAGCTTCCAAAAAATGACGTTCTGCTTCCGCAATGGCAAGAAGACGAGGATCATGTAAATCTATAGGCGTGCCTGATATTGTCCAACCTCCTCTGATAAAAAAGATAAGATTACAAAATCTGTATAAGCAAATCCACATGCTTTTTTGTTGCTATTGTTTTTTTAAATAAAAAGAATATAAGTTTAATAATATACCCAATGTCGATGATAGTATCTTCAAGGCGAGGAGGGCGAGGTGGAACTGTATAACCCGGTTGATAATCCTAGTCAGAGTAACATCAAAATTATTTAGATTGCTAGGAAAAACCGTATGCACTGGCTGATGTAATTAAATAGAACGTTGAAAACCTTAATGGATAAAGAGTTTTATTAGTCAGTCAATCAACCAACCAATCAATCTTAAGTTACCTGATGACATATCTCACAAGTGGTGTCTCCTTTCTCATTGCACCAATATTGGATACATTTTCTATGAGCATACTACAAAAAAACAAATGAACGGCGAATCAAAATCAATACCACATTATATTGAGAATAACCCTCTAAAATGGAAGTTGTTAATGAAAGTAAGATAGTAATCTAAATTTAACAAAGGTTAATGAACAATTAAACAAACATATTTTAATATATTATAGAGCATTAGACTAAAAGTTCCTAGACATTAGAGTTAAAACCGTTAGAAATGTGTTGAAAAATAAGAAAATTCCATATACCTTGAGGCTGCCGCTACAACCACACGGAGCTTCCAAATTGTGAATGGAATCCTCTTCCTGGCAAATACGACATTCCCCATCTTGAATTAATGGTTCATCCTCTTGTTCTCCTTCTTCGTCTTCCTCATCCCTCACCTCATTTGACCTTGAACATGATGGGCCCGTAGAAGCAGTACTGATATCCGTTTTCAAGATTTTTTCAGCACCCTCCTCTAAAGAGGACAAGGAACCTGTTGTCGAGTGGATTGCAAGGCGGTCCACAAATAGAGCCATGTGATCACTCATACCTTCTTAACCAAATATGGTATGAAACACGATGATGAATATAATTTTCTGGCTAAAGAAATATTACGAAACTAGTTTCAAAACTTCTCAAAAAGAAGAAAATCTCACGATCCCACTATTTTGACATGAAAATAGAGGGATCGGAGGAAAAAGTTTTCCTCGAAGGAAGTGAGAAAAAAACAATCTTTCCCAACAAAATATGGAGAAATGAAATCAAGAAAAATAGAAGCAATCACAGAGCGAGAGAAAAGGGGGATGGAAGGGGATAATTAATATTGAATGGTGTGCTTGGAGCAATGGTTTTTCTGTGTTTGGTGGGGGAAAAAAGAAAAGAATGGAAGAGCGGGAGAAACGACTTTTTTTTGTTGGCCTAGTTTTTTGGTTCTTTTTTTTTTGTTTCTCATTAAGTTTCCTTGATCAATAGATCAAGTTGTGAAAAAACAAAACTGACCTGTCTTTTTAATTTGTTTATACAGGAATTAGAATAAATTTAAAAACTAACTACACAAAACAAAAGGGCCAAGTTTTTTTTAATGATATGATTGGGGAGAAATTTTATAACACCCCAATTTCTCCTAATTATGAAATACCTAAATTACCCTTGTTATAGCCATACTTTGGTTATAGTTAATTCCTTTCCTCAACATCTTCATCATTATGGGTGTCTTGGATGGACTAACATGTTGGATATCATATTACATGGATACGAAAAAGGGCTAAGCTTTTCTTAATCCTGGTGTTTTTTTAGTAGCACCTTTGAATCGGGAAGGAAAGGCTGAGTTTTGGCTAATCGCATCTATGACAAGATCCAACAGCAGTGGATGATGAATGAAATGTGATTTGATTGTGGTAAGGACTGGTAAATTGACTGTGAAAAGTAGACAAGATACATGATTTTATGTGGTATCACTGAATGACTAATCGGGACTAGTACACAGGAGATAAGAATTCATTTCTCTAGCTTTTACTCTTATTGTCAAATGAAGAACATGCCTTTCAGCCATACATGTACACCATTATATAATCGTTTACAACTCTTAAGTAGGGTTACAAAAAGTACGTGATGATCAAGACTCCTATTATAGTAAGGAGAAGTAGAGTGCTGATGTTGCTTTCTATATGTGACCATGTGGGCTGGCGGACTAGAGCCTTCGTAGCCTATGGCATCGGCTCGGTCCAATACCCCCCCCCCCCTCAAGCCGAACTGAAGATCTCGAATGTTCAGTTTTGACAGAAAAAATGAAAATGATATGCACATAGCCCTTTTTGGTGAACAAATCAGGAAGCTGGAGATGCAAACTAACCTTGAGATGAAGAATATCACGAGAGACAACGCAATCTCGAATAAAATAACAATCCAACTCAACGTGTGTAGTTCGCTCATGGAAGATAGGGTTGGTAGCTATATGAAGGGAAGTTTGATTGTCGTAGTGAAGGGGGTTCGTCGAGACTGAGGAACACCCAATTCACTCAACAACCATCATATTCAAAGGAGTTCACATACAATACTTGTCATAGCTCGATACTCTACTTCGACCAACGAGCGTGCCACTACTTACTATTCTTTAATGCTCCAGGAGACATGATTGTGACTCACTAAAACACAACTCCTAACAATGGCCAAGTGCAACCAATGAAAGGAACTGCAGTATAGTGGAATAAATAATAAATATCAAATCCACGAGTCTCTAAAGTTACTATTACTCAGCTTCAGTTCATTTTCTAGCAAACCAAACTAAGATAGAAGAACTATAACTACTCTAGCAAACTACGGTTAAAGTTAATCTAATTATAGGTTGGGAACTCACTTAGGTATGATTATCCCTAGCTCCTTAATTAGGTCAAAGTTTTAATTTTCTTTGGTTGATTTATTGTTGATTAAACCGCAGAAGTTCCAAAAAATAGCGTTGAATCTCTTAAACTGACCAAGCCCTCTTAGACTGAATACCCGGAAGACGACTAGCCTTCACTGGGATAAAATACTAAGGCGATTCACGCAAATCTCCACTATTTGGAATGAATTCGAGTACAAAGCGATAAATTGACAGACTCTCGCACAATCAATTCACTACTATCAATCAAGGAAGCTCTCTTAAAGCAATGAGATTTTATCTATCATAGGTTACGAATATGATCATGACTCAACAAATCATGCCTCAATCGATTAAAACCAATAAGTATAGCATCCAAAAGTTCATACAAAAAAGATCCTAACACATGGAACTAAGGTTCCTCAAAATCTAAGTGAGGGAAGTTACTCCATAGAGAAGAAAGAGACTGCAAAAATCTTATCTAGATCTTTAATTTCCATCTCTAAGCTTGATTCCCGAGCTCGGATGGTGAAGAAATCCTCTAAAATAGCTCCAAGAATACTCCTAAGTCGCTCTCTCTCTAGGGTTCGTCCCTTGGGTGTTTGGATCCAAAACCCAACTCTCTCTCTCTCTCTCTCTCTAAAATTGCAGAAGTCAAACTTATATCCGAGTAGGGGCACACGGCTGTGTTTCAGGCCTTCCCTTATTTCTTTCCTTCCCGAGTTTCAGCCCTTCTCTCTTTTCTCGGGCCCGTGTTTCTTCCTCACTCTTGTTCCACTGTCTTTGATGCTTCGTTTCTTCTTCGTTCGGACTCTGAATCGGTCATCGTTTGATCCTTGAGAATCGTAGTCTCCTCCTACTTCTTTTAATGAAAAGATTACATGATTCTTTGTCAATAAATGAGATAGAAATCCATTCTTTCGTAGGTCATGTCCGAGTTTCTTTCCCTAAATCGTCAATTGATCTCTTATTGACTTGAAACTTACACCTATGCTTCACTTTACGTGCAAGGACCTGAAATGTGATAAAGGAACACAACCTAGCATAAAATAGGCCGATAAGGCACAAACTCAAGCCAAAAAGATCAAGAAACGAGGGTGCAAACCTGTGCAAATATGATGCTATCAAATTCCCCCACAATTAACAGTTTCCTCCCCAAGCAACCAAAGTCAGACACAAGGTAAGCTCAAAACGTTTTTGCCATGCAAACTTTGTGGACATATCATATAGGCACAAAATAGGTGAATCGCACTGGCTTTTAGACATCAACACATGTACAACAACAACATCAACTGGACAACCATCACAGATGACATTCGAGTGCAACAAAATCGGGTAGAGGAAGAGTCTCCCTTCTGTTCAAAATAGTCACCTCATGCATAGAATTCAAGACATCAGAATCAAGACCGAGCAATCGAGGTCCTCACCGGGGTATATAATATGAAAATTGAATCACTCACTCTTGACTAGTGGGGTCAAGGAAAAATTGGATGCAAGATGTGTGCATACTCATACTCTCAATTCATAACATCTATTCAGCATGACGGTAGCCTCTAAATGCTAGAGTTCACATATCGGCTGTCACCACTAACTTGTCCGGAGGTCTTAGCCACGGGTTCAAATAATTGGTTAGGGTGTTGGACACGGGAAAAGGCCTTTTAGGTGGTGGAAGAATTCATTGCACAAGGTATCACAGTTCCAAAACAACACAACAACATTCATTCCAACCATTTACTTTCACTCTGCTATTCTGCATTAATCAAGTTCTTTAGAGCACAAGAGTGAAAGAGGTTAAAACATGTTAGTATTTCCAAGCCAGTCTGCTCAAAAACACTATCTAATGAGCATGATTAAGATGTTTGTGGTGGTTGTCTTTTGCTTTCATTTGTTTTTTTTTCTCTTTAGAGAACCACCATTTTTGCTACATTCTTTTTATCTTTGCAAGCACATTCCCAACTTTTAAGAACTGCCTCCAACTCTCACATTATTTCCAGCAGAAAATACGCAAAAACCACTCTTTGGAACCTCTAAGAGATGCATGAGTGTGATTTTTCATTATAGACACAATTAAAGAAAGTTACACGGTTCAAAGGGACTAACTAGGGGGTATGACGCACCTGGACAGTCAATGTGGTCGTGGGTTAATCCTATGCCTCCATCATCCTAATTAGTGGCAACGTGAATATACTACATATCATGGAAGAGGGATCTAACGCACAAGGAAGAAACAAGCAGACTCAAAGCTGACATGGGTACCTGTATGCTCTATCTCTCATCCTGATTCCCTGAACTAGATGTATAAACGACTGTAGAAAATGAGTAATCAATCCAAGTCCCAGTTGGTAAGCAAACATATGAAAAATTAAACCCTTACACTACTCTACTACACGTCTCTGTCACATTATATGTTGTCTTAGTCACACACAAGTTATCATACATAAATGCTAACAGCCAATAGATTCACCACATAAAACCACATTGCCAATATGATCATGCAAACATTAGTACTTGGAGTCCTCAAATCTTGAGATTTGGATAGTAGACTAGGCTTCAAGAACACAAACATAGGTTCAGATAAGTACAAGGCACCCCCCCCCCACACGCACATTTAATTTCGATATTGCCCTCAATGGAGCAGAGAGAAGGATAAGGGAAACGATGTTACAGATTGGTGATGAACGATGGTGGATGGAACAGGAGGTGCCTTCCATGGAAGAGAGAGTAGATGGAACCACAAACACCACACGAAAGCTCACAAAGGTTGAGTTATTGACTCAAAAATCATAGCACAACACCGACTCAACCGAAGAGAAATATGGAAAGAAATGCAAACCGACTAGTTGGGTTGCCTCCCAACAAGCGCTTATTTCACGTTGTTAGCTGGACGGTGGCTCCTAAGTATCGGTCCACCCCAAAACTTACTTGATGTTGAGGTTCTCGTCGATGAAGCGGAGTCTCAAGTCACGAGTAGGTGGTATGATAGGCGATAAAGATGGTTCGTGCCCTTGGGGAAGATGACGTCTCCACACTCGAGACCTCTCCTTCGCTTCTTCTCTTGTCTCATTACCCCAAACCAGATATAACAGCATCGATTGACCACCATCGCGTCCACCAAGAGGGACCGATGCCTATGTGGCCTTGGTGTGGTAAAGAGACACTGCAAACGGGTCCTTGCCAATAAGCTCATTGTAGTTTGGGGGAGATATCACATGTAACTTATAACCGGTGCAAGCCTCTTCCACCTCAACTTCCTCCTCAGCCAGAGCGCCAATTTCTTCTTCAACCCCCCTTCCTACTTCAAAATGTGTTATCTCCCCTTAGAAAAGTTCTAGAACTCCTTCTACTTCACTTCCTTCATCCTCCACAACTTCTTCCCTCACCCTTTCTCGCTCTTCTTCTTCCCAAACAAATTGGGGAGCAAGTCGCCAAGCAATTTCTTCATTGAGATCATTTTGCATCTCCTCGCTTGGGCCCAGCATGTTAGAACAATAATGGGGAAAGGTGTGACCAACCACCAAAGGACATTCCTGATCTTGATTATCACGGAAGTTCTCCATGACAACTTTTGTTAATTTTATATATGCTTCCTCAACCTTATTGTCGATTTTACATGTCTACTACCAACTAGAACCGTAATGTTTAATTTGAATTAAAAAATGTGGTTTCTTTTGTGAGATGGTTGGAATGATTTATTAGATATTTTCGTGATGATATGAATTTGAACTTGTTTATGGTCAATGATAATTTCATTCTTAAATTAGTGTAATATACAAGTCTTATATGTTATATATCATTAACGGTTCTATCAACGGTTCACCAACGGTTTTGTAACGGTTAACCGGTCAATGATAATTTCATTCTTAAATTAGTGTAATATACAAGTTTTATGTGTTATATATCATTAACGGTTCTATCAACGGTTCACCAACGGTTAACCGGTGAACCCTTAAACCACTAACTTTTCCGGTTCAGCTTCCGGTCCTGTAACAGAGGGTTAACTCATTAATTTCTTTTTCCAACTTAAAATGCCTTAATTAGGACAATGAGTTGGGCCCTTACGAAAAAAAATTGGACGGGCCAAATTTACAAGTTACTAGGCCCTTGTAGATATTGAAAGTGCACTAGTCAAGAGCTTTCGAGGACATGCGGCCCAATCCGAACCGGGCATCAATATGAGTCGTCTTTTTTCTGGGAATATCAGCCGTAAGATCTAGGGTTGCACTTCATTTATATTCTCTTTCTCCGCCATCTCAGATCTTCTCCTCTGGTAGCAGCTCCGCCGAGCAGTCTCATAAACCCTAATAAAACTAGGAGAACTTGAGAACCGCGAAAATGGTTCAGCGTCTCACTTATCGCAAGCGCCACAGCTATGCCACCAAGTCCAATCAGCACCGGATTGTCAAAACTCCTGGTAAACTCTTAGTTTTGGAGAACTAATCTTCGTTTGATTCTTTGCTGCGATCTGCTGCTCATTTTTTGGGCCATGGGAAACCTTTCTTTATCTATGACTCTATGTGATGTGTTCGCGCTGAAGTTTGAGTGTTCTGTGTTTGCGATAGGTGGGAAATTGGTGTATCAGACCACTAAGAAGAGGGCCAGTGGTCCTAAGTGCCCTGTCACCGGCAAGAGGATTCAAGGGGTATGTTCGCTTTCAATAATAAGTTTTCTCTTCTGGTTTGGATAGCGGTGGACTTAGCTTTAGATTGAACATGCTTTTGAGATGGAGAGAATTCATTTGCTGTAGTATCTATAAATCTTGATGAAGGTTGTTGTTACTAGTCACGCATTGGATTGTGGGAAAGATTGAACTACAGAAACTGATTAAATATCTGTTAAATACTACTGACGTAGATATTGAGTAGTTTCTATATCCTTCAGAGTTCTCTTCAGTTGCATATTAGTGGTGGGTTTGAGTATTTGAGTTCCTTTAGTAGAGTAAACACCATTGTTGTGTTAGGCTATATTATCTCTGTGAATGCTTCATTCATGTTCTCCTTTGGCTAGACTTGGTCTTTTTGTGTGATGCTGAGAGGAGGGATGTTGAGTTGTAAGTCTTAGTTCCTCCCTCCCCACGTACGATTTCTTGTCTGTTGATGATTTGCCAGAAGATGTTTTGGGGTGCGTTTGGATAAGTGGATTTTAAATGTAAGGTATTTGAAATATTAGCATTTGAAATGGATGTATTCGAAATATTAGCATTTGAAATACATGTAATTCAAATTCATTGTTTGGATACTCATTTGTAATTTGTTTGTATTTTGTATTTTATGATTTTCAATTTCAATTTTTAATTTTCTGGTCACTTACTACAAATTTTGGTAAATTACAGTTTGGTACCCAAAATTATTTTTTCTTACAATTTAGTACCTAAACTTTTAAAATTTTACAAAAAGGTCCTGAAATTTTGATGGTAAAATTACATTTTGGTACCTTTATATGTTTTGCCTCACACTATAGTACCTAAACTTTTCATATTTTACAAATAGGTCCATTCTTTTGTTAGGAGGTATTTCAAATCACTAGTTGTTGAAATGTATTTGAAGTTGACAAAAAATACACTAGACTTGTATTTGGAAATCACCCCATGAATTTGACACAAATCCAAATACCAATGTAATTAATATCCAAACACATGATTTGGTATTTGGAAATCCAAATCACAAATACCAAATCCAAATCATTGTATCCAAACGCACCCTTGTGGAATTTTGACCCTATTTCCAAGTTAAGGCAAATGTAGTGGAGACCAATGTAATATTTTCCATGTTGTGTAGCATTTTAAGTTTACTAGCGACGTACGTCTAACTGTCAACATTGTTTGTTTTCCATGGTTAGTAGTATAGGCTGATAATATTTGTATCAGTTGGATGTTCCTTATGAACATATCGGAGACTTTCATCTGTTCTTTTTCTTGGGAATATATATGGCGTGAGTGGATACTAGATCTGAATTATTAAAGCTACTGTGTTTTAGATTCCTCACTTGAGACCTGCGGAGTACAAGCGGTCAAGATTGCCCAGGAATCGGAGGACTGTGAACCGTGCCTATGGAGGTGTTCTGTCTGGTGGTGCTGTGAGAGAAAGGTGTGTTTGATTACAACTAGGTTCTCTTATTATGCTCTGTTTTGTGGTGTAGTGTTTCTAACCTTGCTACGTTATTCTTGTAAGGATCATCCGTGCTTTCCTTGTGGAGGAGCAAAAGATTGTTAAAAAGGTGCTCAAGATTCAAAAGGCCAAGGAAAAGCAGGCATCTAAGTAACTTGGAGAAGCAAAGAGTTGTTGAAAACGGCCAGCATTAGGAGGAAATTGTTTGATCATATGTTTTAGAGTGTTTCGGTTTCAATTTGTTATTTTCCTTTTCAATCTCTAAAGAATTATGAATTCCTAGTACTCCGTTTTGGGCCTTGATAACAATTTTTGTGCTCAGTTTCTGCACCATTCCTTCCCGTGAACTCCTCTTTGACGTTTAATCTTTGGTTGACGCATACCAATTTTACTAGCTTCGTCACTACTGTCGGCTCGTAGATAACGTTGTGTAATGTTAACCAATTTAGCTTCTACACTACAGTCGCGATGTGTCAGATCATCCATAAGCATCAGAGCGAAGTGATTAGTTGTGATTATTATCACGTAATAATCAGAGAGCTTTACCTTTCCAAAAGTCGTTGATGTATTGGAGCTTTACCTTCTTGTGGATTGATTTGTCAAATATGCCCTTCTGCTTGAGGGCTATGTGTGCCGTGCTGCAAAGGATTCTTGTCCATGACCAAAACAACACGACCTCGTCTTCAGTTTGCTCCTTCTCCATGTTAATTTTCTGCTTGAGAAAGATGTTTCCTTGAGCAATGGAGTTGGTTCTTCTTTAGATAGTCAACTATTTTGATAGACAAGTGGCAACTATAAGGACAAGATTGATGAACATTACTATTCATGTGGCAATTTGAATCCAATTCACTAATTCAATCCGTCAAAGAAAAAATTCAGCTGATTTAATCCATTAAATTTTCATAAATTTGATCCAGATTGGTGAACTCATCGATTACTAAATTCATGGATGTTTGGTGTATCCATGCTATATTTTTTTTTCAAACTATAAAAGACAAAACATATTTTATTCTGTGTTTCTTTAGAGAGAATAAGTGAGGTGAGATTATTTTTATCTCTTATTATTAATATTAATTACAATAAGGTAAAAGGCAAGAAAAAAAGAAGTAAATCAATTATAAATAATTTGTTACATCCTTAAGTTCAGACTAAAAACTTATCATCTTTTACTATATAATATTCATTTTTTTGTTATTTATTTCTACTGTTGGGTTGTTCTATATTTTCCTCTCCGAATCTATTAATTTTTCCTAAGCTATCGTGCCGATTCACATTAATTGATTATTTATTAATTTATTTACTAATTGATTGATGACTTATTTACATAGAATTTTGTTAAAAAATTCGAACTACATTTTATTTATAAAACAAGACTGTATCATAATCTCATAGCCGACAATGTTCCAAGACAAAGAAGTACAAGCTTTTAAACCAGATCCTAAGGTTGAACCAGTAACAACCTTGGTCCAAATACATATATCTATATACATAGGGCTACATTTCTAGGCTATAGCTTTTTGCGCATGAAAAACAAGGCATCGCGGCATGAATGGCTGAGGTTGGAACTTCATCTCTATACAAGAGCCGTGAACTTGTTCGGGCCGGAAGGTTTCCCGATCGTGGAATGCATTTAAACGAGAGTACAACTAATGTGCTAGCTGCTCTTCTTCTTCACACCCACCCTCCAAATTGATTAGTGTGGAAAGCTGGCAGCGTCTTTTCCCCCAAATCTACATCCAATAATAATGGGGTTTGGAGCTTGAAACGTGTCTTGGAGTTGAACTGCACGCAATAAAAAGAATCCTTCCCTTCCCGAAACTTTAATCAAACCCATATCAAGGCTTCCCATGTATCCTCTGATGCAAAAGTACCAACCACCCACCCTATAATATTTTTCTTATGACTGATTGAAGTAAAAACTTAACCTCATATATTAATATACTATACAGAATACAGATTGAATGGATGAAATCCTGATCGAGCAAGGAAAGAGATCATGGGAAGCTCACTAAGTCAACAGATTGAATCAGAACAAACCAGTCAAAAAAGAGAACCAACATGGCTGACTGAGGCCGAACACGCAAGCTGAAGTGTGTAATACACAAAGCTATGACGAGGTTGCCGAGCCACAAAGCATATTCTTCGCCTCAGGACTATTTATAGCGACCATTCTTACATTATTTCCAGAAGCCCAACCCCAACACCAAAACAAAAATAGTCACTTAGCTTGTTGATTTTCGAAAAACTCAAAATGATAAGGAAGCCAGCGACCCTTTTCTCTGCCTCTGTTGCGCTTTTGACGTTCCAATGCCTTTCAGTTCTCTGTGTCGCCCAGGACTTCGATTTCTTCTACTTTGTCCAACAGGTATGTGCGGTTTACACATATATAGCCAGCCGAACTATTTCTTCTAGTTCCATCCATAACGTGGTCTCTTCTCTTCTCTTCTGTGTATGTGTGCAGTGGCCGGGAGCCTATTGTGACTCGAGGCAGAGATGCTGCTACCCAAAGACAGGCAAACCCACAGCCGATTTCGGGATCCATGGTCTCTGGCCAGTGGCGGACCCAGGATTGTCGGAGAGGTGTGTCGCCGATAAAATACAATAATAATTAAAATAAATTAAATTAAAAATTAAGTAAAAATTAAAAGAAATTAATTCATAAAGTTCACAATGTCATGTTTACAACGAACCGCGACGACTTTTCATCTGCTGAAATGTCTCTAAAATACATTCATCACTTATGCTGCAAAGTAAATCTTTTTCAATATACACAACTAAACAATCATTCATAAATTGGTCACTCAACCGATTTCGAAGATCGTTCTTGATTATCTTCATAGCTGAAAATGCTCTTTCGCAGCTTGCAGTTGCCACAGGTAAGGTCAACACCAACTTTAACAGCAAGTAAACTAAAGGATAAAGAGTGTCCTTTCCCCTTTCCACCAATTTCCTAGCTAGCTCGTCGATTCCTCGCAATCCATCAAAGCTCTTATCCTCCTTGACATGAGAAATGTAGCCCCCCAATTGTTGATGAAGTCGTGAGAGCACATTGGATGGAAACTCCTCGGGATAAAACTCAGTAAGACTCATCAACTTTGCTTTATCAAAAGAAGCAAAAGAGTTAGCTGGACTAAAACAAGAAATGCAGTCCAACAATCGAGTGTTCACCTCACCAAATCGAGTATTCAATTCTTGCAACTGCAAATCTATAACTGCATAGAATAAATCGACTTGATAGTAATGCAAGTTTGTAGGCTGATGAGGGGTGCTACGTCTTGTTCTTCCAGCAAGAGTGAACAAGTCATTCATGTTAGGAACATGAATTTGTTCCTTAGTGCAGAATGAAACCACATCATCAAATAGAGGTTCCCACCCTTCATCTCTCAACTCTTGTAGTCTCTTCTTTGAGCAATTAATGAGTTCCATAGCATTAACAAGGTCTTGATCTTTCCTTTGTAATGCTATAGACAACTCATTTGTAATTGCAAGCACTTCAATCATCATCTTCATGTGAAAGACAAACTCAAAAGTTTGCATTTGAAGCAGAGAATTCACTACTTTACCTTGTGCCTCCTTTGAACGTGTGTCAAATTGCATCTCATTCAGTACATCAACCACAGAACTGAACATATCCATAAGATTTGTAAGTGCCCCAAGATGGGATCCCCAACGTGTATCACCGGGCCTTTTCAACCCTATTTGTTGATTCAATCCTTGTCCACTCTCCAAATCACCAATAGATAGAGCCTCAATAACCCTTGCGGCATGCTTGTCTCGAAGAGAATCGACCCGCTTAGGTGATCCACCAATCACATTGAGCAATGAAGCAAAATGCTCAAAGAAGCGATTATTGAGCACATGATCTCTTGCAACAGCTACTAGTGTCAACTGAAGTTGATGAGCAAAGCAATGAATGTAATGAGCAGATGGATTCTCAACCAAGATTAATGATTTCAGTCCATTGATTTCACCTCTCATGTTACTAGCCCCATCATATCCTTGCCCCCTCACCTTTGCCAAACTTAGCCCATGTAATCCAAGAATTGATTCAATCTCCTTCTTGAGTGTAGCAGCCCTAGTATCAGCGACATGAGCAATACCAAGAAATCTCTCAATAACACAACCATTCTTATCAACATAACGTATAACCAGAACCATTTGCTCCTTAATTGACACATCACGAGATTCATCCACCAATATGCAAAAAAAAGAATCTCCAAGATCTTTGATGATCTCTTGACTTATTAGAGATGCTATTGCTCGAACAATATCCTTTTGAATCTTGGGAGAAGTCAGTTGAAGATTTTTTGGAGCATTCTCCAACACAACACTTCGCACTTCCTTATTCTCATTAGCAATAACCTCCAAAAAGTACCGAAAATTTCCTTTGTTTTCTGAAGATTCACTTTCATCGTGCCCTCGAAATGGCAATCCTTGGTGTAGAAGAGCCTTAGTGGTAGTAACTGATGCCTGCAAACGAATACGATATTCTCTTTTTTGTTTATCTGTTTGTCTCACCAATGCACTTGAGATGCTCTGTGATTGTCTCAACAAATCTTCACCTTTCTTAGCAGCCACATTGTGAGAACTATTAGGGCCACCAACATGATCATCTAATCGCGTCTTCCTATTCCAACATCTCACCCCATTTGATATGAATGCTTCTCCACTACCATTTTTAGATTCAGATACAAACAAATAGCAAGGTAGACAGTATACTGCATCATCATGAACACTATACTCTAGCCAACCCTTGTGCCCAGTATACCAAGAAGGATTAAATCTTCGTTTTTCTCCACTATAGTCGGTATATGGGAAAGAACCTTTTGGTTGACAAGGACCCTTTATCAGATATGCTCTTCTAATCTCATCTTGCATATTAATAGGGAAAGTTGAAAACTTTCTCCTCAACCCCGGATCGGCTTCCAATTTGTTCACATCAACCTCATCATTCTCATGTTCTTCAGGAAATGAAGAAAACTTACTTGAGATGCCACTTGTTTGATTAATCGATGGCGAGGAAGATTGAGAATCATCATGCTTCCTTTTACTTGATTCTCCTCCTAAATTGTTAATTTGTGGAGTAGTTTTGGCTTTCTTTGGGACCTTTGGGTAAAATCTCTCCATGTCTGGATACAGAGTACAACATAAATTAGCTTATAAACAAATTCATTCAATTCATCCATGAATTACAAATTGACAAATAAAATTTAGGTTAAATGGGAAAACAAGAAAAACCCCTAAACTTTGCAATTTAGGGTTCATAACAGTAAAATTACTTACATTTGGCCAGCTACAAGAAGTGCCCACTTCACCGGCTACGAGGAGTTGCCGCCGCCGCGCTGCCCGCCGGTGAATGGATGTCCGCCGAGGCCTCCCTGTGTTGCCGTGCCGACTTGCCGCAACTGCCTTCGCCTGGGTTTTTGGTTCGCTTGGGGTCTGGGGATTTTATTTTTTGCGAGCTGCGTGCGAGAGAAGAGGGAACAGAGGGAATAATGGGATGGGTAGCTGGGGCTTGGGATATGGACAGGGAAATGGCAATTGGGCCATTAATTTGGGGATTGGGCCATTAATTTGGGGATTGGGAGGGAAGGACTACTAATGGGAGGAGGTGGCCGAATGGGCTATTGCCCATTTGACCTTTGATTTTTTTTTCCTCTATTTAATTATAGGCCCAGCCCAGCCAGCCCAACACTATATTGTATGGGTTGAGAGTGTTTTTTTTTTATATGAAGGATATGATTATGTTTTAGGAGTTATTTTTAACAAAATTAAAAAGGATTATGATTAAGATTGATTCATTTGGATAATAATTTCTTCGAGTATAGTGAAGGTGTGTCGGCTATAATTATTGAAGGTGTGTCGGCTATCCCGAAGTAAAAAAATTTGTACCAAAAATATGTAGGTCCTTCGTAAAATTCTCGAGCGAGGGTGTGTCGGACGACACACCCTGCCCCTTCTTAGGTTCGCCACTGTCTCTGGCCTAACTACAAGAACGGCGCCTACCCTTCCAACTGCGACCGTGACAGCGTCTTCCACGAATCACAGGTTGGCTGGGATTAATTACCACTGTGTCAGGATTTGGGAAACCTTGCGGGGAATGTTTCAGGATTTTCCCGTCAGGTTATTCCACCACGATTCGCCTTAATCGTATAACGTTGTTTTTTTTTTCCCTTTGTCCGTAAATTTCACAGATAGAAGATGTGCTGCCGCAGCTGCAAAAATTCTGGCCGACCCTAGCCTGCCCGAGTGGCGATGGTGTGAAGTTCTGGACCCACGAATGGGAAAAGCATGGAACCTGCTCTGAGTCCGAAATGGACCAGCACGATTACTTTGTGGCTGCTCTTAAGCTCAAGGACAAAGCCAACCTCCTCCAGATTCTCAAGTCTGCCGGTAACGTAACATTCACTCATCTTTTTCTTTTTTACCATCAATTATTGCTACTAATTCCTTGAGGGTTGAAACCAGTGGGCTTGTTTGGGGTTATCTTTAATAAGTTGCTGAGGTTGAATTCGATAAACAGGAATTAGGCCGGACGATGGGCTCTACGAGCTTGACAGCATTGTGGAAGCCATAAAGGAAAGGACAGGTTTTACTCCAGGGATAGAGTGCAATGTGGATTCTTCCAGGAACAGTCAGCTGTACCAGGTTTTTATGTGTGTGGACACATCTGGATCAGACTTCATTGAGTGCCCCATCCTGCCAAAGGGGAGATGTGCTTCCTCCATCCAGTTCCCCAAGTTTTAGGAGGAAAAAGATTCTGGATTCTTTCATCACATTATTGTTCTCTGTTTTTCCCCCCTCCTTATAATAATAAGATTCTGCTGACTTTTTCTTCCAGCATTTTATCCCTCTTGTAATAGCTGAACATCAAGTTACTTGTCACATTTCCTTATTGTTAGAGCAGTTTATCTTTTGAGTGCCCTCTTCAACAAAATTTGACCAATTGCAATTACTAGATAATAATTGGTCCGCGCTTTGAATTTAACGAATGAGTCAATTAGTTAAGTGAATTCAATAAGCAGATTATAGCTATTTTTAGTACAAACCTATTCAATAGATAATATAAGGGCTAATACTTATGTTGCCCCGAATTATACCCAAATAGTCAATTTTAGCCCGTGGTTTTCGAAATTGTTATACCGACCTCAACTATACACCATATAGACTAACTTGGCCGAATGCTTGTTTTGACCGTCAATTTAAATGGTCAATAGTGTTGACTAACAAGCAATGAGTCATATCATCATAAAATATAATAAAAACTTATAATTAAAATAATTAATTACAAAAGTTTACACACATACAATTAGCAAATAAAAAACCTATTCGTAGTTAAAGGAAGTTAAATAAGTTTCATCGATCTATTAGGTTATAGTTCGATTTTATTCGCTTTTACAAATCTATGAGAATAATTAAGCATGCTATGTCGAAGATTTGCTAATAACTTTTTCTTTTCTTTGTTGTGTCTTTTTGTGGCAACTCGATTCTGGTCAACCGGCATACTTCGTCGAAGGAAACTACACTCTCTGGCGGGACTATCTTGGAGATGTTGGGTTTTGTTTTTGTTTTTTCCCGTCAGTGTCTTGTCTTTGCTCCTCGGAGCTGTCCAAGTAGTGGCTTAACGTGCTCTCTCATCGTAGTCTGGTTGCATACAGACTAACACACTGTATTTGAGTCGGTTTTGTAATCGTGTCGAGTCTTTGTCCCATGCCCTCTGGGCTTGCTTGGAAAAAAAAATCCCTACTTCTCTTACTGTTTCCTTGCCCCCACCAGATGTCCCTCGCCGGCGAACCAAAACCCCTCTGACTCCCGAATTTACGTGAATTGTTCTTGAGCTGTCTCCCCTTGCCTCGCCACATCGAATCCAAGTTTGCCATCCTTGATTCAGCCAAGGACTTGGTCTTACTCGGTTTCTCTTATTGGAAATTTGTTCCCCTGTCATTTTGGGTACCGTCGATTCCGGATGCTCTGCATATGTCAAGGAAGAGATGTTAACAGTGGCAGGGGAGGGAATAGAGGATAGAGCTCGGATCTCATCTGATATCCCAGGCAGAAACCCTAGTTTTGCAAGATCCGAAAGCGAACGAGATGGGGCAGCGGCCGGAATGGACGATAATGGGAATACGGAATTCGGAACAAATCGGGAGCTTCTGAGAGTGGAAAGAGAAGACGGCGATAATACAGAGTTGTTCTAGATGGCGGCGGATGGTTCCTCTGCAATCCTCACGAAGAGTCACGATCCATGAGCATATCCCACTCTCTAGGGTTAATAGAATTTTGTGCCCCTCTACTATGTTCATTAACAAACGTGCCCTTATACTATATTTTTGCACAAACGTACTCTTCTAATATCACAATGTAACGACGATGCCCTTCCGTTAAAAATTCTGTGAAGTGACCGTTAAATGGAGTGAGAAATGACTCAATTACCCCTAAGTGATTCGATACCAAGATCCCATCCATCCCCCTTCACCTAACGAGAAATCCCTACCGCTTCTAATTCTTTCTTCTTTGTCGACGAAGTTGGAGCCGCAACACTGGAAGAAACGCGTTTGTCCCCGCATCCAGCAGACAACGAGAGACTGCCGCCAGCGACCCTCGAAGCGAGAGACTCCCGACATCCAGCTGGCGGCAAGAGACTCATGTGCCAACTCTCCCTCTTTCTGATCGGAGTCCGTCGTCCCAGCCACTCATTTTCCTCCGTCGTCCCGAGTCCCGACCGCTCCTCCTCCTCTGTCGTTCCGACCGCTCCTCCTTCGATTTGTGCCCGATTCCATCACCTGCAATACTTGAAAAATCCGAGAGCTATTTCTTGTCCCACATTCCCACCCCTCCACTTTGCTTATTGTGAAACTTTCTGTAACCCTAAATCTAGATTGCTATGATAAATCCGATTCAATGAAACTACGCTTTCTAGGATGAATTAGCCAAGCATTTGAATTGGGGATTTTGAACTTACGTACTAGAATTTCAGGCTATGATGTATCGTAAATTTTTGGCTAAATTGTGTTTTCTGTTGTAAATTGTGAATGACCGAGAATTGGAGGTGAGAAATGGTCAATTATTATGTCCAGAATAAATTCGACTTCTTGAGAATCTGTGGGTTGTAGGCTGGCGTCGAGGGAATTGCAGTGCGCCGTAGGTGGGCGTCGGGTTGGGAAGGTGGACGGCGGAGGTGAAGATGGCCGCCGGGGTGGGAAGCTCGACCGACGAAGATGCTCAAGAGACGTACGGAATTAGATTAGGGATTTTTAATCCCACTGGCATATAAACATAATTAAATTATAATTTTAGTTTCAGGGGTAATTGGGTCATTTTTCACACCACTTAACGGCCACTTCATAGAATTTTTAATGGAAGGGTGTCTTCGTTCCGTTGTGATAATAGAAGGGTACGTTTGTGCAAAAATGTAGTAGAGAGGCACGTTTGTTAATTAGAAATAATAGAAGGACACAAAATGCTATTAACCCCACTCTCCACGTCAGCATTAAATGTATTAGCTAGGTAAGAGTGACGGAATGACTTTTATTTAACCATTTAATGATACTAGCTTTTACCCGATCGTAGGTCGAATGAATTTTATTTTATGTTGATCAATTTCTTAATGTGTTTATATAATTTGAGGTTTTCTAAAATATTTAATTCATAATTTCAAAGTAATCTTTATGGTATTGATTATGACATTAGTGATAATGACATTAGTGATAATTCGTTAATATGTATTTTTTTATCAAGTCGTCCTAGTTTATTGTTGTGTATTTTTTTCATATCTTAGAAGAAATTTGTGAACTTTTTATTGTCGGATATGAATTTGGAGTTGGTAGGAAATAAATGTCATCTAGAATGGGTGGGAATTGAAGGTATATAAAAAATCCAGAGAATAACAAAAAAATTATGCCTAGAAATCTCAAATATGGAAGAACACGAATAAATAATGCTTATTGTATAAATTATTATAATTTAGTGTATAGGCTCGTTTGAATAATAAGCGGGGGTTGTTAAGTGTTTGATACTAATGAAAAATTTAAGAAAACCCAAACATTATAAACCTTAAATTCTACTATACCAATACAATCTTTGACTTTTCATAGGGAGTTAATAGCATAAATTGTCAATCTATTATCCATTTTTCTCAAATCTATCCCTATATAATTTTTAACATCAAACATGTCCTCTTACTATATAGTATATACGTATAAAAAAAAATTAAATTTACTCCATGTTATGGCTTATCTTTTCCGTATGTAACTCCCAATAATGAATAGCAACAATCACATCCTCCATATGTTCTGCTTTCTCTTCCTTCGACCCAACAATAAATAAACGCAAAAACTTGTCTGTCACGAAAGGACATTAAAGACTAACTTTTGAATTTCAACCACTCTCTAAAAGTCCTAAATTATTGATCGATTTGATTCAATCATCAAAATTGGAACCCAAATTTTTTAGAATATTTGGATTTCAAAGTAGCAAAGGTTGTCAACCCGCTTTAGCTCGTTGGCCCGGTCGATTAAGTGGGTTAAGGGTTAATGGTCCAATCATTTTAGTCAGCTTTTGCCCGGATATATGAAAAAATCATTATATTGTTCATATATTTATAAATTATATAAAATCTTATCTTCATATGGACAATATTCTTCCTCTTCCGAACTATCTACTGTGTTCTGCTATCCTCCTTCGAGCTCCTAAAAACAACCAAGTGTGTGTCAGATATGAAGATCGCACTCCTATGGCGGCTGTGTGTGTCAGATGTGGAGCTAATGAGGAACAACCAAGTGGGAATTGAGCGTGGGGTGTTTGCGAGGGAAGGCAATATGTAATGGAACGCGAGTTCTGGCAGTAGTCTTTTTGTCTACAGAATTGACTCAACAGATTTAGTATACCAATTCGCGGGGTGGGAGCCAAAAAGGGTGCCGTAAGAGCGTATATTCTTCAAGAATTATGATTTCAGTACACTGATTCGAATCCAGTTGTACACATTTATCCCCATTTTCCTTAGACATTTGATGCACATGCATTTGTACTCCGTGAGGTGAGGTTTTACGCTAGGTTGCACTTTGTTTTAGTATGTTTCATATCCTAGGAAGTGAAACTAACCCCGGAATCGAAAGTGGGACGAAAAGGAGCAAAAACGAGTCAAAGGGCGGAAGCAACTGAGGATCACGGCGGAAGCTGAGTTTTGATGGTCATACGTATCATGAAAAGAGAACCTAAACCGTGAAGCGCCGAAGTTCCAGAACAGTTTGTGCATCTCACTGCAACCCAACCAGTTCACGGTTGCAAGACCGCGAACTCCAGTCCCAGACCGTGAAGTGACTTAGTGAAACGGTGCAAATCTGCTTGACTTCACGGTTCAGGACGAATGTTCACGACCGTGAACATGCATCGATCAAGGTATAAAAGCGAAAGTGAGCTGCTGGAGAAAGGGGGGGGGGGAGCTTTTGGTAGGTTTTTAGTGTGCAGAATAAAGGAGGGTTTCTAGTGAGAGATTAGGGTTTTCTCTTCATATTCTAGAGAGAGAAAGTGCCATTCAAAGGAGGAAGAAGGAGATTTCGGCTTGCCCTAAACTATAGGATTGAAGGTTTCTTCTTCTCAAGGGAGATTCAAGCAATAAGGAAGGAAGATTGTCATCTCTTTATGGTTCTTTCTCTCCTTTTTGTTGTTTTTCTTTGCCTAGCTATGGAATAGCGTGTCAAGAACCACTTGCTCCCAATAACTCGAGTTGTTGGAAGAGGTTCAATCGTGGATCATATACCACACACTAACACACCCCCTCAAATTAAAGTGACTAACAAGGGCTTGAAATTTGCACAGGTCCAAATACCATGTGCTTAACAAATGGGGGTCACCGGGATTTGAACACAAGACCTCTTGATCACAGAAGGCTCTGATACCATGTCATGAACCAGCTGCTCCCAATACCCAAGTTGTTGGAAGAAATTCAATCGTGGATCATATACCACGCACTAACATAGCCTGCCTACTCACTTGGGTATTGTGAAACCTAGTCTTGATGTGTGTTAGGATGTAAGAACATGATTCTATTGTGTTAATTGTGTGTTTTATATGAGGTATTAATCATGAATGATTGAGTGTTTTTTGCATTATCTCATTATTGGGTCAAATTAACTTAGAATGTGGAAATCCCCCTTTGGCCCATAGGGAGCTTGATCTCCCAGCCACTTGGGTAACCCCTTTTGGGTTGATATAGGGTCAAAACCTCAAGTATCAGAGTAGTATTATGATTTTGACGTGATTGGTCTTTCCGCCGTACGGATTAACTTCCGAGGGTTAGGTCTTGCAATCCTTAGTTGTCATCCTTAGTCGAAAGGTTAAGTGAGTGAGTCTACTAACTTTATGCAACAATGCTTAAGTGGTCAACGAAGAGAGTTAGGTTTTCCTTAGTTTGTTCGATCAAGAGAGCTAGGTTCGCTAGCTTATTGTGGAAATCCTTTATCGATCAACTAGGAGAGCTTGTTCCTAGCGAGTTGCACCCGTCTCACGGTGTATGAACACGTCCTTCACACTAGGTTTTCGTTGATTGTTTCTTAGCACGAAACTAGGAGAAGCAATACCCAAGTGAAGTCCTCTAGAATTCTCCTCGATTTACTTTCTATTTTTGGTTATTTTGTAGTTTTCTTAGTTGTAAACCCAAAATCGTTTGCTAGATACAACCTAAGAGATTGAAGTAGGGGTACATGGACCGACCTGGTTTGACAATTAAAACATACTTTCCCTATACTTCACCCGGCTAGAGTTTATGCTTGGCCTCTAGTCGGGATTTAAATCGCGGTGTAGTTCGTGCTAGTCATGCGCCAAAAGAGCATGAATATTATATTCTTTTAATTAATATATTATTTAACTTACTAAAATGTTTTGGTCAAAATATTACGACAATGAAACGGAAAAATAAAATAAAATCATTTTAGTAGGATAATAGCTTTAAATAATCTGATTAGGACCGAAAAAAGAAAGGACTTCAAAAGTTTAATAGAACCCCATCAAAATTTATGATACTTTTTTTAGTGTTTTATTGAAGTTTTTAGTTTTATTTTATTTAAAAGCAAAAGAGAAATGAAAGCATCGTTTATCCACCCCCACGCATTCAATTAGTTGTTAATAAAAGAGTCTATATCTTCTTCTTCCCCTTCGATTCTTTGTTTACTAATCATCCAATTCAATTAGTTTACCCTTCCCCTTCTTTTTTGCTCCAAGTGGTCTGTCAAAATCGGGAATAAATATCCAGGTTTGCCCCTACAACAAATCCTTTATGGTTCCTGGAACTTTGAGTGAATCTCGTATCACCATTTTCACTCAAATATCTTGAGAAAAAAAGATTGAAATTCCTTAGCAAATTTCCCTTTATCTATGCTTGCTTTAGACAGATATCTATTATTCACAAAATCCTTCAAGACACCTTGATACCAAGCGGACCAGGAAATAGAGCGGATTCGTTAATTGACTAGGCCGAGCTTTGCATTTGCTGCTTGGACAGAGAAAAGAATGATTTGGACAAGGGGTATATAGAAGGATTGGGGTTCACGCTTGGAAATAAAAGGCCCAACTCTTTCGTCTCTTTGTGGAGGAGTGCGGAAAAAAGAAATTGCTTTGAGGGAGAAGGCTTTTGGACCAGGGACCGGAATTATTTGGACCGTAAAGAAAAGAAACTTGGGTCGAGATTATTTTTCAGGATGGAGGATTGAAATTCCGTGGAGAGTGGAGCCTATTAATAGGCGGGAATTGGTCAGGGACGCGGACTTCCAAGGAGATGGAGAATTCTTTTCAGGGCGAACCAAGAACAGCAGCGCTGGAGAGGAGAAAATCTCATCCATCTCGAGCTGCCAGGGGAGAAGGAAACGCCGAACATCGTTTGGGAACCTCCTCCAAGTACTTTTGTTCCTTATCTTTCCATTAGCTTCAAGAATGATTAATACTTTACCGATTTATTTTAGTTTTATCATGAACTAAAACCCAATTTTTTGTAGAAAACATCATAGGAGGTAGCTATATCTAGATTTGATAGATTGATTCATATTTCTTTTCTTGCAATCTTTATTGCATGAAATTGATTAATGTTTTGTGTTGACTGGCCACCAATACAACGATTTGTAGTTAATTAGGTTATTAGCGACAGTAAAACCCTAATAATTGAACCTATTTCATGTGACAGTGAATTAAATAAGAACCTATTTCATGTAGGCCACCCACTTGTTTACTTAACATGTTGGCTCATGAGGCTTTAACCCATTAACAAGATACAGGGTTTTTCATAAAAAAAATTAATCCATTGAGTTACGACAGTATGATTTGAATTGATTGTTTAGTACGTAGTAATTCGCGACAGGGATAGCTAGCACAGTAGTGATATTCTAGTTGTAGAGATATGAATTGATTTGGATATAATAGGTAGTGAGTCCCGCTGTTTCTCCCAGAGCTTTTTCCCATTGATTTCTACCGATAGTTTTTATTTGGTTATTTTGATTATTTTAGTTTGCTTTTAGAAATTAGTCTCATTAAACTATTTGCATTTATATTTTTCTCCATAGAATTGATAGAAATTAAGGTTTTACCAGTCCCTGAGAGACGATACCCAAACTTCTGATTTACTAACGAGATAGAAATTGAAGCACTACGCTTTTGTCCTATCACCTTCACAAGACGAACGAACTCGTCACAAGTTGAGAGTTGTGATGAACTCATATTTGTAACCAGGCTCTGATACCAAATGTTAAAAACTTGTTTTGTAGGGTTCCTAACATATGTGTTTGTGATATTGGGAAGTGGTAGATAAATTTGGATTTAGAAGAACTGGGATAGAATTAAGGATTGGAAGGAGAATTTGGGGAAGAATAGAAAGAACTGGTCGGCGCTCGGATTGGGGAGAGAAAGAATTTGGGAGAAAAGGGTTAGCGTTCAGCGTTTTGAGAGAAATACTTTAATGCTACTTTTCTGATAGCTTCTTTGTTTGAAATCTCACGTAAGATCTAAAGTGTGTATATATATAAAATAAAAGATACCCAAGACCTCTAAAAATACCCTATCCCTATTAAGTCACAACCGGCGTCCATTCCTCTGAAATCTAATAATTAAAGTACTAATCCAAACACAAATCGTATTTCTAACAAAAGTATTCAAACTATGAGAAACACAATTAAAATTTTCTTATTAAATTCAAGTCAGTAAGATTGACAATCAAATTCTTTGCTCGTCGGATTAAAAGAAAGGGTCGGAAAGATATCCTATACAGACGGAGTAAAGAAAGAGATCTCAAACTGGTCCATGATGAAACCCATTGATTAAGAATCATGAATAAATAACACAATCTACCCATATAAATACTCCGAGAATTCAGGAAGTAATAAGGAGGATTATTTACATTTAAAGTCTAAAACTACTAGAACATAAAAGGAAAAGCATTAAAGAATAGAGACTGGTCCAAGAAGACCTAGATCCATTCCTTCATCAACTGATCACAACGAAACTTAAACAATCTATGGTAACAACAACACCAAGTAAAGAACAAACAAACAAAACTGACATCAATATAGTGTTCTTGACCACTAATAACTTGTACTTCTAAGTGGCCATGCAACCAATCCCATACCTAGTGTTGGGAAACACCAAGAAGAGGCCGCTGCACACAACACCGACCATGAGCGGGAAACTCTCCATCACCTCATCCAGTTCCTTCACGTGCCCAGGGAACAAGCAATCCGTCACCCTGTGATCCGACAGCGCGATCGCCATGAACACCATCACCGACATCATGGCGTGGACGAAATCCGTGAACCCTAGCCTGTACTTGTCATCCTTGGGCACCTCGATCCCGAGCCCGGGCTTGAACACGGCCAGCCCCTTGGGGGTGACGAAGCCGTAGTAGACCTTGCCGTCGGGGCCCTTGAAACTGTCGGTGAAGTGGAAGAAGAAGCAGGAGAGGGAGCACAGCCCGAGGAGGAAGTAGATCATGAGGGTGGTGACGTGGGTGCACTCCCCGTTCTTGGAGACGGACGGCAGCAGCATCTCGAAGGTCAGGAGGGTCCCCGTGGGGAGGAAGTTGACCAGCATGGAGGTCTTGGACATCGTGTCTTGCACTCCTTTCGCCATGGCTCTTCTCTTGCTCCCTGGCTTCTTCGGTGCTTGTGTTAGGCACAGCGACGCGGTGCATGATGTCGGCGGCGGGGGAGGCGGCGGCGGCGGCGGTGGGGGAAAGGATGGTGAGGGAGAGGATTTGGAGCGGCCGGGGGCGGATTTCGGGGATGCTGATGCGGATGGCATGTAGATTTTGATTCCATAGTCGTCTCGCTCCATTGTGTTTGGTTTGGTTGGTTGGTTGCAGAGAAGAGAGTTGTGGCCGGTGTTGGAGGCTGTAGTTTGTACTGCGATCTCGATCTTCTTATCCTATCGTAAAATATATATAAAGCCTTTGAGAAATGCTTTTTCAACTGCTACAGTTAAATTCTGATGTAATTTATCTAATCAAACCTAAGAAAATCCTTGGTAACTGCCTACTACTACTCGGTTACCAAAAAAAAAGTTAACACCCAATTCGCGTGAAACTTTGAAAAGTGCAAAAAACGGCCAATGTATCGTTTCGTTTGCCGACTACCCATATTCTATCCGTCACTCTCCGTCTCCGACTCAGAATTGTCGGAGAGCTGTGTCGCCGATAAAATAAAATAAAAATTAAAAAATTTAATTAAATTGAAAAATTTCATAAAATGAAATAGAAATTACTAGAAATTAATTCATAAAGTTCATAATGTCATGTTTACAACGAACCACGACGACTTTTCATGTCCTGAAATGTCTGTAAAATACATTCATCGCTTATGTTGCGAAGCAAATCCTTTTTAATGTACACAACTAAACAATCATTTATAAATTGGTCACTCAACCGATTTCGAAGTTCATTCTTGATTTTCTTCATAGCTGAAAATGTTTTTTCGCACTTTTCAACAAGTAAAGTCAACACCAACTTTAAGAGCAAGTCAACTAAAAGATAAAAGAAAAGGAGATGCGGCAATTGATCTCAGTAATTAGAAACTAAAAAAAGGTGAAGATGAGTTTTTTTATTATTTTCAACAAAGGAATGGTCAAGGGGTGGAAATCGTGAGTTTCAAAGGATGGGGTTATTCATACTTTATACATTGTTGGGTTGTGGTGTGGGTTACTTTAAAACAAATATATTTATTTAAATATATTTATTATTTTTTATTACTAATTAAGATAAAAACATTTATAACAAGAAAATCATTCTCGTACAATGAAGGCACGCTCACAATTATTTGAGGTATGCCGCAAGTCCCAAATTAAAAAACATTTGTACAAAAAATATATAGGTCATTCACAAAATTTCCCAGCCAGGGTGTGTCTAGGTCCGCCCATGATCACCCTCAAATCTCATTACGGACAAGAGCTCTTTGATCAGGGATCTGACGGTTATTAATTGTTTAGGTTATGGTGGTTATGCAATTTTACATAATCAAATTTGAGCACTCTGAACACTTGGATCAGCATAATCATGTTCTCTGAAGAGAACAACAATATGTGCATAAACTAGAATGAGCAATTGATTGATCCTATCGTCCTTTCCCGAAGAGTTTAACAAGGGGATTCATTATCCTCCTATCTAGGGGTGTTCAAACGGTGTGATTACCATGGTAACCGTTTTAACCAGTACTATTTGGATAATTTGGTTTGGTTAATTTGGATAATTGGTTTGGTTAAAGTTTTTAGCTTGTTTGGTTTAGGTGGTTTGGTTTGGTTTCAGACACTCTTAACCAGTCAAACCAAATTAACCAGATAAATAATTAATCATATATCTATTATATACACATACTTAATACTTTGAATAATCACTTAAGAGTTAAACGTTCATCCCTTTTAGACTCATAAAATATAAAGTTTGATATTGTTCCTATAATGTATTTGTATATGTAGAGTGTAGACCACAACATATGAACGCCTAATTTAGATAAATCTCATACATTATGTTGGATGAAAACTTGAAAGCAAGGTCCTTTTATGCCAATGAAAATTGCTAAAACACTAAGTCAATTCAAACAAACACAACAATTCATTAACCCATACCATTTTGATAAATGTTTGCTAGGTGAATACTTCTATACTAACCGTAGGATAATTGTCTTAGTTGCATGTATTTATGTTAAAGGTCAACTATGACAAAGTGTTGATTGTTACGTTTTATTCATTATATAAATTGTGAATTGATAAATTAACCAAAATTTTTATCACTTAATGATAATATGATTTTCTATTGGTTAATCTGGTTAACCAGTTAACCAAACCGATTAAACTTTAGTTTGGTTAATTTGGTTTTTGTATTAGTTTGGACGGTTTGGTTATGATATTGTATTCCATGGTTAATGAAATTTAGCCTTATTTGGTTTGGTAATAGCCATGGTAACCATTTGAACATCCCGACTCCTATCTCTTCGTTCTATGTATGAAGAGACTCTAACACCGTTCTCAGCTTTCACATTTGTTTTTCGCTGACGATCTTGTTTGGTTTGTAGAGGAAGATGGTAACCAAATAGAGATCATAGTCGTTGCTTAGAGGATTTCTGCAGGAGTTCAGATTAGAAAGTCAATGTAAACAAATCAGCAGTGCTAGTATGTTCCAATATCGCTGGACCAAAGCCCATGTGCTTAGTACGTGTGCCAATCTCCCTCTAACGACTGATCTTAGCAAGTACCTTGGCACTCATTATGTCATCAACAGTAGTATTAATCAGGCAGTCCAGATACAAGGAGCTTTCCCTAAAGATCCAAACAAAACTCGCGTCCTCAAAACTAGACACTTATCTCTTGCATCTCGAATGACCCTAATGATATCTATTCCGTCATGAATGACTATATCTATCCAATGTTTACAAAGCTGATTCCTACTACTGTCTGCAAGTCGATGGATTAATGCAACAGGTACTTCATTTGGGGATAAAAAGATGGTAAGACAAAATTCCATCCCATTGCTTGGGAGCAGATGGTTCTCCCACGAGCCCAAGGTGGAGTTGGAATAGACTTACTTGAGCTGCTAATCAAGTGATTCTAGCTAAAGGGAGTTGGATGCTGATCAATGACCACAAGACCTTATAAGAATCTCGAGCTCGTGAAAGGTTAGGCTCTTTTTATCAAAGTCACGCAATACCAATCTTTTTAGAATTTTTCTGAATTTTCTGTCAACAACTCGGAAAAATAAAGGATAGGGAGGATTGAAGTGCCACCTCACATTTGGGAGGAGGTTCTATTAATGTAAGTATAGAAGCTCGACCACAATCAAGGGGAATACTCAATTGATACAGAGACAATACTCAACGCGATTGGACACCAACGGTGAGAGCAAAATTCCCAAGCAAACGCTCCATGAACAAAAGGGTTTTTTCAATTAATCAAAGTCTCAATAATGTACAAAAATTTGTGTCTTACAACTCTTTAAATAGGCCTGAAAAATAAAACTAATGAAAACACCAAAAAGGAAGAAGAATCCCAAACGAAAAAGGAAGTTTAACTCGTCAGGGCTAAAAACCCGATCTCAATCCCCGGTTAGGGGTCCTTCTGGGCCAATTCCCCGGTCACTCCCTCACCTCACCCAATCAGGGATCCTGCAATTCTGGACTGGGTCTTCAGTTGTGGAGGAAATCACATAAGTCCTTCCCCGTTGAAGAAGCTTTGCCCTCAAAGCTTTCCAGCCTGGCTTCCAAACAAAATTCTCTAGAATCCTCCATCCAGGTTTCCAAACATAGTTGCTTGCTCTAGAGGCATTCAAACTTGAAGATCATCGTCCAAAATCTCCATCCTTCACTAGACCCAAGCCACCTCAGTCTACCTTCTTGCATTCAAAGCAATCATTCTTCCAAAGCAAGTTATCAAAGCTCAAAACTTGTAGACTCCTCCACGAGAATTCGTCATCACAAAAGTTGTAAAAAGAATCGAGATAAGCCATTACCTTCTTTTCCACCACGTCCATCTCGTAGAATTCTCCATCTTCTTTATGTGGCTCTGGACAGTTGAAGATGGTTTCTCTGTTCCAGGTTTTCCTCCTCCTCCTCCTTCTCAGAACTCGAACTCTGTTGCACCGGAGAACTCGACCTCGAACTCGATTCTTGTTCAGCCATGGTTTGAAGCATAGGCCCTAGTTGAACCATCTGTGCTGCAAGCTGTTTCATGGTGTCTTCAAGATTTGGCTCCATAGTTTTCTCTTCTTTGTCTTTCTCTCCACTCTTTCATGCCACTGAGTTTGATCCAGAAATCTTCAAATCACCGCTAAGTTTGGACGAGGCTCTAATACCACTTGATAAGAATCATGAGCCCGTAAAAGCTTATGCCATGTTCATTTTCCATCTTGTTTTCTGTTTTTTGCTGTGGCAATGAGAATTAAGAAACAGATTCAAATAAATGTGTTCATTTGTTTTTTGTTTTTGTATAATAAAATGAAATGGCACAAATGGCAAAGGTGTGAGGAAACGATATATACTAGTTTCTTGAAAATAATAGATTGGGCTTCTCCCTGTTGCCCGGCGGAAGAACACAACTATAGTTAAATGAGACCTTGGCGGAAGAACACAACTATAGTTAAATGAGACCTTGGGTTCGAATCTGGCCAAACCCATCTTTTTTCTCTTTTAATTTGCAACATCCTGACGTGGACAGAGTTGTCGTTTTGTACTTTGGAGTCCTCGTTCCATTCTCTCCTCCCTCCGTAGAAGAATCAATCCCCTCCATCGACTAAAGAGGCCGCTCTCCTAAGTACAGCAAAGAGCTTTGTCTTTACCTCCTCCATCTGACGATCGAGAACGTAGCAGTCTCCTCCACTTAGCAAGGAAGAGCTCCAGTCGTCTAGTCGACACATCTTCCTCCTGCCGCAACCCAACTCCTGTAGCTTGCACGTATAATCATTTTGATAATGTTGAAATTTGATGGTTTTTACAATAAGTTCCCTGTTCTTTCTCTCCTCCATTGATGAAGCATTGTGGTGATTTGTTCCTGCAGCCAAAGGCGGCGTTAAGAATTTGGTAATTGTAGGTTCAGGTCCTGGTGGATACACTTCAACAGTTTATGCACCTCGAGCAAATTTGAAATCAGTGTTTTTCGAGCGATATCAGGTTGGTGGTGTGCCTAGTGGGCAGTTGATGACTACCACTGAAGTGGATGAAGCTTGGATATAGCTTCATTTATGCTCTTTGAAACGACCAATTCTATGTAACAGTGAATTAGCTCTTTCCGGACGTTTCTTCGGTTGAAGCTAATCATAATTAATTTTTGTTTCTCTTATTGTTTTCTGGTTCCAA